TATTGCAGCGGCAATTTAAAGGACTGCTGCTGCTTTACCCCCTGCACTAGGACACAGTCCAGAAGTTTGTCTTTGGTGTTTCTCTATTTTGAACAATCTTGAGCAGATTTCAAAACCCCATTGAGGAGTAACAAGAACAACAAGCCATATATCAGGGATAGCTAGACATGCCAACATTAGGAAACACGGCATCTGCAAGCCAACCCCATTTTGGACCTTGATATAGACAATTCATGGAAACTGCTCACTAGACAAGTAGAGTTCACTGGCCTGATACTGGAGAGCCTGTCTATAAACACTTTGATTGTTTTGGTGGTACATGAAGTACACATGGATAAATAATCAGAGAAACAGAGTGGACTGCAAATGCGCTGGACATTTCTTCTGTTACATGCCACTGCATGATTTCCTACAAGGAATTTCAGTCACTTAGTCTAGGCAGTCATGAGGCAGAGGATAGAAGAATTCAGAGTGAGTAGTGGAGGTCAAAAATGGGGAATCTCTATTCTTATGCATGTTGAACACTTCTGTGTCCCACGAGGCACCAGCAAAAGCAATGGCACACCATTCAGGGGAAGCTGCTGCTTCTGAGTAACAGGTGCTCTGGGGAAAGGTAAGAAATAACAAATGGGAAAAATTGCTGGTCTGAGGACAATAAGCTATCAAAAAACCCAGGACTGAAATGAAAAATGGCCAGTTATTGAGCGTAAATTTCAAACCACCATCTTTTCATCAACTAATCAAAATTTTGCCAACTCCCGGAGCATCCATCCTTTCTGTACATAGTATGCCACATATTAAGATTCCCTACAGAAAGCACATCGATTTTTTCATGTAAAGGAGTGATATTGCAGAGTGATGTGGGAGTTTAATATTCCACAAGTGTCACAATATATGAAAAGGCTCTTTATATACCCTAGAAGCCTGAAAGCAATGTGAAAAAACTAAAGAAAACTTTGCGTTTGGTATGACTCCTAATTTAAACTACTTGGAGAAAGACATTGTCTTCCTTTTAGCTAAACACAGTATGTTCTGCAGAGCCTCTTAAATTTTAAGTGTGTGGAATACGTTCTGTCCACGTGGTAGCTAAGTGTTTTGTTTTCTCTATTTATACAGAAATTACTTTCCACTAATTGTTTTATACTTTTGTCACAATAGCTCTGAGCATTAAAGAGACCGGTTGTATTACAGCGTAATGAAACTACAAAACAGTTGTATCAGATGAGAAATTTGATAAATATGTCATGGTTATTGTATTTTAGTATTAAAGAGAAAAAACAGGAAAATAATCTTGATGGAATGCACGTCGTTACTCAGTTGTGTTCTTTCCTCTTTCATCTCTCATTTGCATGTTATTTCTTTCTAGTAAGACTTATTTTCATTGTCATATGTGTTAGGATCTAATTCTCCTGAAAGCTTTGACTACAAGTGGCAAAGTGAGCCACAAAGCAGTCTGTTAACCTCAGAGAGGATTGTCTACATGGACTGAGACTGAGAGATCTTGATAAAATGTTTTAACAAATAGTTAGCTTTGAGGAAAGAAATCCACCCCCCTCCCCCAAGGATTCAGTTTCATTATTATGATGTAAAATTTTGTTTCTTCAACTCACTGTTCTGAAATTTCTCTTGAGAAACACATGGAAAATCCTTATGTAGTAAAAAAATAACGGACTGACATAAGTTTTGAATGCTGTGCTTTAAACTGAAGGAAGGCACTGCTTTCAGGGGAGGATCTTGAGCTAGGGATCCTGGTTGGAGGCAGTTAAACTCTCAAAAGGCTTTTCCCAGCCCTGCTACTTGGCTGTGCTCTGTTCAGCTTGTCCAACTTAACAGTGAAATGGGCCTCATTCCCCAAGGCATGTCACTGGCCTCCAGCTACCCAGTTTGGAAAGTGTCCAATCACCCGAGATCCAGCAGCACAGCACCTAATTTCAAAGAGGCACTTGAGCAGAGAACTATTCCTACTGGAACTATCTCAGGATATAAATTAGGATTAGATTCAGTAGCAGTTTTGTGGATTTGGCTTGTAGGTCTCTACCTCAGAGACCACTGAGAGAGCATAGACCGCAAGGGCTTTGTGGTCTGGCCACTCCACTCAGGGTTGATTAGACAGAGAGAAATAACACAAGTATATTTTGAGAGAATCGCTGTAGTGAAGACATTCCTTCTGGGATGTTAGGCAGCTTTTTCATTCATATAATTATTTTATGTATAGGATTTTCCTATCATGCAATTTAAAGAGAAATACTCTTAGGAGAACTTTTAGGCTGCAATACTGCAAATATTTTGCCTAAATACCGTAGTGTTTGTTCAAAAGGTGCTAGACAAAACACTTAGGATTATATGTTTCTCACATGACTCCAACTAAGAGCTGCACACTTCTCTGTGTTAACTTCTTTCACAGATTCAGAAACATACTTCTACTCATTTTATGCATTAAATGCCTTCCCTTTGTTTTGTTTTTGCTAAGTTAGCAGTTGATATGCTTTTGCTTGGAAACACTATCTCTTTAAATAGGAATAGCTCATTCTTAATGGCAATAGTTGATAAATTACAACATGCCAGAAATATTGTGCATGCTTCTGAAAGGCAGAATATTAATGTCTCTCCAGATGTGTCTAGAAATTAAATAGTAGATTTGCAAAGTCAGTTTTTAATAAGCAATCTGAAGAGTCTGTAATTTAGGAAACAGTATAATTTAGTATGAAAAAAAAGGAGACAGATTATAATGCTATACCAGCCATGAAGCAAAAGTTGCCTGGATTTTCAGGAGGCACACATTCCCCCTTAGTAACATGTTTAGTATATTACATGTTCTATTGCAGCAACAACTCCTCCGTTGAAGTAATTCACTCTTGAATATTGGTTTTTGTGTAGTTACAGCCCTGGTGCAGGACAGTTCCCAAATTCAAATAAGCATATGATTTGCTGAAGATGACAATTTCCAGAAATGCACCTTACCATATATCAAAGACAGATTTATATAAGACCCTTATCATATAAGTCCCTCTCTGTCCCCTCCTGCTCAGTAGTAAGACACTAAGCTGCTGGCCACTAGAATCAAGGCTCACCTTTGCTGAACATGGAGGAATAATGGTAAATGCTGGGGGGATGACTGGGATGTGACTTCTCAGAGGCAGAAGACTGTGTCCCCAGAGCTGGCTCCTCTGGATGCCACACCGGGAAAGAAGGGAGCCAAAGCTGTACGTCCTTATCAGCTCTTTACATCCACTCTGTCACCTAGAGGGAGAAAACAACAGATCTTTCATTTTCCTGTGCAGAAATTCGTGGGGTTGATAATTGAGGGTGTAGTAGTTCAGCCCTGCAGGCATAAATTTGAAGACAGAAGGAACACTATAATAAAAAAAAAATACTCAGGAAGAGATACATTTCAAATTGCAATTACTGTCTTCCCCATCTGCCTGTATATTTGGGTTCAGGTTCTTTAAAAATTTTGAAATTCATTTAAAGAAAATTAAAATCATTACGCTTATTAGAGCATAATGCCTTATCAGAGCTGACGACTTATCAACTTTTTTTTTAATAAAGGACTAATACTGAGACAGTAGGTGAGAAGAGCGTAGTGCAGTCCCATCGTTTAACATTCAAAAATTTAGCAAAAAAGTTGGCTCTGAGCTGAGTTGGATGGGGACATCCTAAAGGGATCTGTGTTTGCTAGAACCACTGTTTTTTCGTATACATGCTCACATCACATATAGCGCTCTGGAAAGGCCGCCTTTCCTCTCATTTCTTCACTCTTGCTCGTGTGGCAATACTTCCTCTCCTGGTGTTCAAATGTTGCTTCATATCAGGATGGTCATGTTTGAATTTTCAGTTATCCCGTTTTATTTTCAAAATTACAGTCATGCATCTGTTTTCACTTTACTGTTTGCATTCATTTTCTTTGTCACTGCATTTAAAACACTAAATTACAATTTAGTTGCTCTTTAGAGAGAGTAATTGCCAATATCTTGCCAAACAGCTTGTGTCCACTATAAATGAAACTTGCATAAATTAGAAAGGGTCATTTTGATTGTAAGAGAATATGAGAGTAATTTATGCTATAAATAAGCACCTTGATGTGGCTAGTAGCATTTAGATGACTATAAAATGTCCCTTGTGTAATTAGGGAACACATTTTTGTCTAATTAAGAAAATGAACAAGAATTATATTTTGAGGGAGTGCAGGTGGTATTGCCACCCTATTGCAATGTAATGCATACTGACGCTTGCATTACTTTTATATACAACTACTGTAATGTTTAGGAACAGTTTTTATATTAAGCTAGCAATCGATAGATTTTAACTTCAGAAATGCCAGCAAAACCCAGCTCTTAAAGAAAGATCACACTAAGAGAGATGGTTTAAAAAAAAATCCACCCTATATACAGTGATTCCATTTTGCTGTGTTCAAAGGGAACTGTTTGGAAAGTGATTTAAAAAAAAAATAAGTAATTCATTCCCTTCTCTCACATAATATAATTTATTAATACCTAAAGCTTCGTGTGCTTTCTTTTGGCTGTTTGCTTATAAATTTGTCCCAGTTTAGAAAAATCTGTCAACTTATAGGTTAGCAAAGGTATCACATCAAAAAGCAAAAACAAATGGAAAACACTCCAGTTTTAAACAGTGACAAATATGAGAGACTTTGGGGTACAAGTCCAAATACGTAAAACTCACATGTATGCTTGAAATCATTTACTCTCATTCTTTGAGCTGGAGTGAGCTGAAGAAACAGAGATGTTTATGACCACTTTTGTTTGAAAAAAAGTGCTCTTATAATAGGACAGTCAATAAATGAATATGTTCCTTTGCTTTAAATATTTCTCCAGGGAGGTGTTTTTTCCTGCCATGCTGGTACCTCCTTTTCACTTGCATTTTTGTAGTCTGTCACAGCAAGAATTCCAGCCAAGTCTATACTTTTATTTTCGCTTTCATATCCAGCTTTCTATCAGCTGCCAGTTGAAGCACATAACACCTCTCATATGTGCATAACTGCTTAAAAAGGGACATTCTCACCCTGCACTGATGCAGAGTATAAGGAGCGCGAGTAGCTGCTTTTCTGGAGGCACAGATACAGAGTCATGTGAGAGAGCCAAGAGTCCCTGGAGAGCATGAAATTGTGAGTTCTGCTTTTTTTTCCTTGTCTTATGTTAAATGCTGGAAGGTTCTTTGCAGTGGTCGTGATTGTCAACCTGATTCCACAGAAGAGCTAGTCAGCATGGTTGCATTTAATTTTGATGCCTCCTCTGTGCTATGGATGCTGGACCTGAAAGTTGGACCATAGGATGCAGTTCACTGGGAAATGGCAGCAAGTTGCCCCCTGTAATGAATTTGTCATGCAGCCATCTAAAACTACTCTCTGGAAATGTTCAGTTCCAGTCCTTGTTTCTCTCACTTGTATGACAGCTATTGAAGACAGAGAAGTCTTATTTAGCTTCACAAATAGATTTTCTGAATCTGGCTTTAATAGACCATGACAGCACAGTGAACTAACTGGTATTGTAGTGTTCCTGAAAAAACGTTATTTCACTGAGAAACAAGAAGGAAACGCCCAACCCTAGAAACTCATCTCTTTTTCAGTAAGGAGACAGAGCCATTTCTAAAACCTTGTCATTTTGCTGCAGAATATTTTTACCACCTCACAGTGCGACATGCACAGAATAACAACCAGTGTCCAGAATGACACAGATGAGGACATAAAGAAGATTGCACAGAGATTAAGTACTATTTTCACTGTTGCCTCTAAAGTGCATGAACCTTACATAGGTAAGCGACGGTTCCTGGAAACCTGACAGTCCTCCTGATGAGCTGTTGAGACTCGTCTTCAAGACATTAAAGTTTATCTCAAACTAGAAAAGTTTTTCATGATGCTGATCCTGTCTAAGCAGGACTTGGGGATTACAGCTGCCTGTCATAATCACCTGGGATTTAGTGCCTGTCATTATCACAGGCACTAAACCCCCACTTTTCTTAACAGTTAAAATCCACAACTTCTGAGTTCAGTACAATTTTCAGATTATATTTTTTAGCTCATTTATTAGGATCCTCTTCTGCTGTCACCTGGGCCGCTGACACCTCTCTGCTCTGGTGTTCCACGGCAAGCCAGACGCTGTACCTTTGGGAGAAGCTCTTTTCTGTCCTCACAACCCACTTCCGCGCCTTCCTGGCACTGCCCTGAAAGGTCACTTCTCTTTCCCTCCTGTGGTGGCTGCCCCAGTAAAACACTGTTCGGGTTGCAGATATGAGGAGTGGTCACGGCATAAAGCTACAGTGTTCGCTTCCAAGGTAAGCAACTCTTCCTAGTCCTGCTCAGGAGAATACACTTAAGCTGCAAGCAGGGAAGGGACTGTGCAGCAACAGGAGCACAAACCATAAACTCTCTTCCCTGTAAGGAATGATATGAGGGAGCTGCACAAACGTTACTGCTTGGGACAGCAAACAGCGAGCTGCCTTTCGTGTTTGTCAGTCACTTGCCTGCCTTCTAAATCACAGGCATATGTATTTCCCCACCGGGTGTTTTTTGGGGGAGGGGGGTGGGGGTTTCCAAGTTTGAAAATTGCTCAGAAATGGCAGCAGGAATTCCCTACTATCTACTCTTTGTCATAGGAATAATTTCCGCCTTATGTTAGGTACAAATATAGTACTATATTATTATATAACAACTGAAAGTAAAACAGAACGGAGGAGGGGGTGGAGCATTTGTTGCTGTCACTAGTGCAAGCCTTATCCTAACTTCTCTGTCAACTTGCTGCCCAGCATAACGAGACTTGTGAGTACTTCACAACTTTTCACATCCTCTTGTTTTTCTTTCTTGCTTCATCGTATTAAAAAGGTGAGGGAACTCATACAGTTTAACTTCCAATTATTTAATGTTTTTTGTAAATTGTCTTATAAGATTTGTTATAAATATAGAAGACATAGTTTTATTGTATTTAATCTTGTTTTTGCCTGGCACCTGTTTCTCTGTTTCTGCTGTGTGAGAGACATCAACAAGTACAGAGAACTGGTGCTAGCCCATGAAAATTTGTCATTGTTTGCTAACGGATTCACACAGCAAAAATGACAAAACAAAGCTACTGATGTGAGCCTAGTTAACATAGCAAGGACAGAGACAAAAAGCTGGGAGGAAAGTTATTTACATCTTAGTGTATACACTTGAAAGAGCATTAAATGCAGGCAGGAAACTGAAAATCAGCAGTCAGGTGGAATCCTACTGAAAGCAATGACTCCGAGATCCTGTAGATGATAGCAGAGTAATAGGGAGGTTTTAGCCGGTAGTAAACAAGAGTAAACAAATGCACTTAAGGAGGCTTGTGAAAAATACCACTTTCTGTCTAATCATAGAATCATAGATTCATTTAGGTTGGAAAAGAGGGGAAAGATGTGTGGGACAGAAACTTGTCAAGTATTGTATTGTCTAAACCTGCAAGATTATATCTGTAAAAGCCAATAATAAGAAGTTCTCCTTCCTGTGCACAACCCCTACCTCGTGATTCCTTCTGCATACAGCAGGTATATTTGTGTTGCTTACTTTTAAGAGAGTCTGGTACTGCAGAACAAACTCCTGTTTATAATTATCACAGCATGGTTTGCTATACTTTCCAAATAGTCAATAGTGCAGCATTTCCTTTGTCTGTTTGGATTGTATTTATTTCTACTTACAGTTACCAATTTATTTGACGTGTACCAGTTAAAAGGAAATCTATCATTTGTTTAATTTATCTTGGAAGGAGATAATTATAGATCAATATAGGATAAACAAAAAATATTTATAGACCAGTAGAGGTATCGAATATCATTCTGTGAGTGTCTACTGGACTGTTCTAAACTTTGAGAACATGTAATATGACTTTATAGCCATTTCACAAACATGAACAACAAAGGTCTGCCTTGGCAGTTCTTTGGAGTGTAACACTGAGAGAGCGAGCAGCCCCGGTGCCGGCAGGACCCGCAGCACATCGCTGCCGTGCAACGGGGGGGGTTCCTGGGCTGGGGGAACCTCGGGGCGAGCCGAGAGAGGCGCCAGGAGCTGCAGACGGCGCGACAGCGGCTGGCGGGACCTGGGAGCCAGACGGCCAAGCCCCTCACACGTATAAAAATCCCTGAGGGGAAGGGAGTGACCAGGACACTGTCCCGGAGGGCGCGGCACTCGCATCGACGGGAGCGCGGGGCGGGCGCGCCAGCGCGGCCAGCCCGGCCGGGGAGGGCTGGGATCCACCCGGCAGAGCCGCGGTGGGAATATGCTGTGCCCGGCTCCAGGTACAGGGGCGACTCCGCTTGGTGCCAGAGATCCCGGAGGACGCGAGTAGGCTCGTCTGTGTGACCGGCCCAGCTCCCCCGGTGAACGGAACGATAAGGAGGATGATGATCCGTCTAGCTTGGGGATGCCGCTGAGGTTAAGTCAACTCCTGTGCCTGTGCCAAAACTGCTTCCATAAAGAAAAAAAAAAGGAAAGACAGGTTGATGTCATAGACGATCCCTTCTGAAGGGAACAGAAACCCCCATATCTGATTAGACCTGCTGCTTCAGGAAGTCTGCTTCCTTCCTGGGGCCTGGATTAAAGATGTGGAGTGTTTGGTACAGCCTTCCAATTATTATCCGTTACTGTTTTTTCAGTTGCAATGGAAAGTCCAAAGGCAATAAAAAATATTTCAGGGCCTTGGGACGACTGTTAAGGGATCTGGAACATAAGTGGTGTTCTCCTCTATCCTTCCAATTGCAGGGAATAATAAGAGAAGAAGTGGGATGAGCCAGCAGACCAATACCTGGCTCTTGAGCCTAATGACACCACCAGAATTTAGGAGTTTTGATCATCATTTGGTCTACAGAACACTGGACCTGATGGCAATAGATGGGGTACACCTGACTCAAAGGAGGAAAAGGATCTTCACGCAGGAGTTAGGAGAGCTCATTGCAACAACTTTAAACTAGACTTGAAGGGGGGAAAGGGGTAAAACCAGGCTTACTAGAAGAAAACCTGGGGGTGGCACGCCAGTTTTTTAGTTACTATGTACTGGTGAATTCCTTCTGTCTGCCATTGGAGGTAGGGAATGGAGATCCACATGGAAGCAAAGACACAAGGGTTATTAATGCGTTCAAAACCATGGAAGTGCCTGAGAATGGTCATGTAGGAATTAGGGCTTCTCCCCCCAAAAAGGTGGTGGGATCAACAACTCAACTGAACTGCCTCTGCATCAATGCACACAGCATGAGCAACAAACAGGAGGTTATGCAGGAAGAAAATTAAAAGGACCAGAGTCCAACCAAAACTTTACCTGGCTACTGCTATAAATGACACTAGAAAGTGTTTTTATGAATGCATCAGCAGCAAAAGAAAGGCTAAGGAGGCCCCTCCATCCTTTGTTGGATGCAGGGAGAAACATAGAGGGGATGGGCCCCTTCCAGCCAGGCTGGAAGCTCTGGGTGGTGCTGGGTTCTGCTTGTGAATTGTTCTCCTCTCTTGTACACTCTGTTATTAATGTTCTTGTTGTTCCTTTTCTTATCTCATTGCCGTTTCTAGTAAGTTGTTCTTATCTCAATCCATGATCTTTACCTTTTGGGCCTCCAATTCTCCCCTCCATCCCGCTGCAGGGGGGCTGGGGAGTGGGATGGGGAGTGGGACAGGGAGTGAGCGAGCAGTGCGTGGAGTGTTTCAGTGGGAACACTAAATTGGGAAATACCCTTCCTAAATGATGACAAGGGAGAAATACTCTGATAATTTGAAGGAGAAATACTCTGATGTATTTAATGCCTTTTTTGCCTCAGTCTTTAATAGTAAGACCAGTTGTTCTCTGGGTACCCAAGCCCCTGAACTGGAAGACAAAGCCAGGGAGCAGAATGGAGCCCCCATAATCCAAGGGGAAATGGTCAGCTACCTGCTACACCACGTAGACATGCACAAGTCTACAGGGCTGATGGGATCCACCCAGGGTTACTGAGGGAGCTGGTGGAAGTGCTCATCAAACCACTTTCCATCATTTATCAGCAGCCCTGGCTAACTGAGAAGGTCCCAGTTGACTGCTTATCAAATGTGACATCCATCTACACAAAGGGTCGAGAGGAGGATCCAGAGAACTACTACAGGCCTGTCAGACTGACCAAGCTGCTGGAGGAGGTCATGGAGCAGATTATCTTGAGTTCTATTCCATGGCAAGTACAGAACAACCAGGTGATCAGGCCCAGTCAGCATGGGTATAAGGCAAGTTCTGATTGTCTTACCTGATCCCCCTCCACAACATTCTTCTGGAGAAACTAGCTGGTCATGGTGTACGTCAGCCAAGCCCAAAGAGTGGTGGTGAATGGAGTTAAATCCAGCTGGTGGCCTGTTGCAAGTGGTGTTCCCCAGGGCTCAGTGTTGGTGCCAACCCTGTTTAGTAACTTTACTAATGATCTGAATGAGGGGATCAAGAGCACTCTCAGCCAGTTTGTGGACGACAACAAGTTGGGTAGGAGTGCTGGCCTCCTGGAGAGTAGGAAGACCATGCAGAGAGATCTGGACAAGCTGGATCGAGGGGCCGAAGTCAACTGTATGAATTTCAACAATGCCAAGTGCCGAAGTGTGACCACATGCAAAGCCACAGACTTGGGAAAGAGGGGCTGGCAACCTGCCTGCCTGGAGGTGTTGGTCAACAGCCGGATGAACATGAGCCAGCAGTGTGCCCAGGTGGCCAAGAAGGCTGAATGGCATCCTGGCCTGGATCAGAAATAGTGTGGCCAGTAGGGCCAGGGCAGCGGTTGTCCCACTGCACTCGGCAATGGTAAGGGTGCATTTCAAATCCTGTGTTCAGTTTTGAGCCCCTTGCTTCAAGAAAGACATTGAGATGCTGGAGTGTTTCCAGGGAAGGACAACAGACCTGGTGAAGGGTCTGGAGCACAAGTCTGATGAGAAGCAGATGAGGGAGCTGTGGTTGTATAGCATTAAGAAAGGAGGCTCAGGGGAGACCTTATTGCTGTCTACGACTACCTGAAAGGAGGTTGTAGTGAGTGTCCATTTTTTTCCTTAAGTAACAAGTGACAAGACAAGATAAAATAGCCTCAAGTTGTGCCAGGGGAGGTTTAGAATGCATATTATGAATAATTTCTTCACTGAAAGGATGGTCAAGCATTGGAGCAAGCTGTCCTGGGAAGTGATAGTCACCAACCCTGAAGATATTTGAAAGACATGTAGCTGTGGTGCTCAGGTTAATGGCTGGACCCAATGATCTTAAAGGTCTTTTCCAACCTAAACAATTCTGATACCTTGCTGTCATTATGAATGTTTGAATACTACAGTCAGATCTGTTCTAAGGCTTCTTAGAAGTTCACTGAAAATAGAGAGGGATCCTAGGGGCCAGAGGTACAGGCTGATGTGAAGTAATTGTGCAGTGTAGATAATACAATGCTAGATTTTTTCTTAAGAGCAGTGCCTTTCAGGCCATGGACAGTAATACATTTGACAGAAACCTTCAAATGTTAGGTTCAGGGTTCTGTCAGGCAAATGTTTCCCTCTTCTGTGCTCGGGGAGTTCTGCTTGCTGCAGCCAGCACAACAGAGAGAAAGGCAATCTGGAACAGCCCACTGTGAGACATGCTGTTCTATCAGAGTAACATGGTTTGTGATGTAAAGATCACTGTTCTACAGGACACCACAGTGTTGCTGCTTGCAGGGATCAGTAAAGCACAACAGCCCAAACTCAGTTGTTGGAACAAACTTGTTGGTCTGCACAAAAGTACGGATTTTATTCCTCTTGTTTTTCACGTGACACAGTCTTGTTGCTACGTTCTCTATTTCATCACTGCACCATCACCAGGAGCTAAACCCCAGGACAGTAATACCCATGCATTTCTGTTTTTTTATGAGGTCTTTCTGTGCACATAAAAACTTGTAATGGAAGATAGTGAGTTTAATAACTTTAAAGTTGTTTTTACCACAGGACTGTAATTCACTGCCAATTTTCATTATTATAATACATTTCCAATTCTCTACACCAAATTATAGTGTGTTAGGCAAAGCAAGAACAACACAAACATGTCCATTTGCTTGTATGCACGCTAAAATATTTCTAATTTTCAAGAGCATTTCAAAAATAATTGCTCAGAAATGGAGGGAGGAAAACCCTACTATCCATTACTTATTATCAGCTACTTATTTCTCAGAGAAACGTGTATGAAGCCAAATCATATCTCTCTGAACAGTTTCCCAGTTTAAAGACATTCTTCCCACTCAACTCAGGTTTCTGATTCCCATTTTACATGTTTTGATGGGACAGAAATTCACTCCAGGAATGAATGCTAACATATTAACAAACATACTGATAGAGTTTGTGTCTACAAAGTGCAAACTCTAGTAGGTAGCACTGTTAATAGGTCCTCATGGGAACACATGCTCAAAACTCCTTTTTGAGCAGAAGTTTAATGGGGTAGGACAATGTTGGAGGTCCCTGGTACCTACACAGACAGATTATTCTTTCAAAGACAAAAGGATTTTCTATCATTAACCCCAGGTCAACTTACCTTCTCACTGCTTCTGTGCCAAACACTGAACCTTAGCTGCTTGTGCCACCTCAAAGGTTCCTGCACACCGAAGGTTCCTCTGCTCTTGCTGGGCCAGTGCTGTTCCCAAGAAGGGTGCTCTGATCCCACGCTCAGAATGAACCTGAAGGAAGGACTAGAAGAGAGACATATTATTCAAGCTCACTCTACTGTATCAGTGTAAACAGAGATCCCACTTGGCCTGGGCTGAGTGCCACCTTTGGATTAATATGCTGCATAACCCTCTGAGAAGTCTAGTCTGGGATTTTCTCCACATCCTTTAACTGATCTGGGGCCTGTTCTCCATCATCCATCAGGATTTATGGGCAGCCTGGGCTAGATTTTTATATCATGATGAGAACACAAAGAATTCAGGCACCTTGGCAACTAATAAAAGCTTTCTGTCTCTCATTCATAAATTAATGTTCTAGTGTAAAATAAGGAGACTGATTCCTTTTTAGCTAAGAAGTTAGTGAACAGTAGCAGAAATATTGGGAAGCCAGCAGGAGACGTACTATATAATTAAACTGTTGTCCTTGATGATAAGTTATTATTAGCAGACAGCAAGATATATGCATCACTACAAACCATCTTATAGTACTTTGTGCTATAACAGATGAGGTATATCCTTAGAGGCAGCATAGGGTGATCATTCAGACATTGTTGTCATTATAGCTGCTATAAATTACAACTTAACAGTTTAATAGTTTACCAATTGACTCTAGTGTCAATGATTAAAAATTCTTTATCAAAAAAATGGTTGGTTTGTTTTTTTTCCCACCAATGAACTGTTTTTAAAAGCCTGTTTTATAAAAATAAATACATGTAGACAAGAAAGGTTGTACTCTTACACCAAAGTTGCTAAACCAGCCCACCCATGACTAGAATTTATCAAATGTATTAGGATGTGTTTTTGTAAATAAAAATACAGGAGAAAAATATTTACTGGCTGTAATTTATTTTCGAGTAGACAGATCACTGTTTTCTAAACTACTAGCCAGAAATAGTTCCCACTGCACCTTTTCCTGGCTGCAGTCTCTGCCAGAAGGCTGTGAATATCAAGTGCTTGGTAATTGCCTTCCCTAGAATTTAAGCCATAAATAAGGACAAGTGGAAAATTTTATTGTGTCTGCAGGAGAAAGGACTTGGGTTCATTGATGGTGTCACGTCACCGTCTGTCACAGATTCTGTTTGTGCAGACACAAATTTGACAATGCAGTTGTTGAGCTAAGGATCTTATAAACCACTCATGCAGTAGAAGACCCATTTTTTGTAAAGAAATAACAGCAGTGACAAGGTTTTACTCCACATAACTTAAATAAAATTTTAACTGCGAATATGTAGTTAACATATTATTAACATTGGTTCCTGTTGGTTGGTAAGCAACATGATAGAAAGTTAGGCCTGAGCTCTGTGGCCTCTTTTGATGCAGCATTGGCTAATTAAGAATTATGGCACTTCTACCAGTGGTGCCTGCATGTATCTCTGGCAAGTGACAGTGTCATTGTCTGTCTTCCTGTAAGGGAAAGTAGGAACCTTAACTGCCCTTCAGAACTAAGGAGAGGTTTTGCAGGGATGTGGAAATCTAGGTACCCGCAGATGGTTACCACTGCCAACCTACATCTAAGAACAAAAGATGTCAACGTGAGCACACTTATTCAAAAGTAACAAATTATATCTGTTTGTGTAAGCCATACAGTCATGTAGCCTCAGGTTGAATGTCATTTTAACCTCAGGTTGAATGTTGTGAAAATGACAGACACGTAACAGGCACACCTGTTAAAACCAAGGGTTTGTAGTGTGATTGTAAGAACATGGAAATGAAGAGTCAGAGTAGCTCTCACAGACTCATCCACTGTAACCTGTGGCAGAAAAACAAGGAGTATAGTTTGGTTCACTTGCAGTGTATTTTGGTAATGGTATAGTTGGTAGAGTTTTTCTTTATGCTGCTTCTTAGCAGGGTGAATAGGTCAAATGGTGTTTCATATTCCTGAGGTTTGATTAATTCTGATACTACATGGTCAATTGTACTCAGGGCTGTCACGTGCACCATTGAGGCTGGGCAGCAGAGAGGATGGGAAGGAAGGTGGCAATGGGAGCCCACCTGGGGTTGCACTGGGTCCTGTTCTCAGCCTGGGGATTCCAAAGATAAACCTGTTCTCCAGTGTCCAACACTGAATGCTGGTAGTGGCCAAAGTTATCAGACTGGGGTTCCCATATGCTGCCTCACTGCTTATAGCATTTCTTGTAGGAGGGAACTCAGAAAGTGATTGTTGCTTGTGACAAATCTGTATTAAGGAGCTTACCCAAATCACAGGGAGATGGTGAGATGAAGGCAGGGACAGGACTCTTTTCCTCAGGGCAGCATCCAGCTGTCTTTGTCAGTGAACCCCTGTTTTCTTTCTGTGAGCTCCTTTTTCCTTTTCTACACATCTTCCTTCTTCAAACAAGGACATTTATACAGGTTTGGGTTTTTTTTTCTTCCGGGAGCTTGGTCCATTCAGTGAACACAACCCATTTGGTTCATAAATCCTGTAAGAGAAAAAGGAAATCATTACATCATACTGTGATTAAAGATTTAATATCTTTTTAAAATTATGCATTCATGGGAAGGCAGTGAGCACAGGATTGAGTTTCAGGTTCTTGAGTAGAATATGCTTTAGTGTTCATAAATCCTTCTACTTCTGCTACATTCAGCCTTTCCCACTTCCTTTCACCTCCACCATGTCTTAATTCTTTGCTGTGCTCTCCATCCTGTCATACTACTCGAATTCCACTGCTGTGCACCAGCAGCATCACTGATTTCTGTTCCTCGCCCTTTACCATTACACATACAAAGAGTTCCACTTGCTTTGGAAGCTCTGAGATGGAATATGTTCTCGTCAGTGAAGAGACTGTTGGAGACCACCTACACAGTGCCAACAAATCTCTTCTGCAATTATGTAAATCAGCTAAGCCACTCACGACTTGACTAAGTTTATGCCAGTTTTCTAGACTGCCAAGCTTGAACACACTACTAAAAAGCACAGCTTTAATTAAATACTTGTAAACATTTTCTTTATACCAAAGAAATGCATATTTTCTGCTAATTTGCTTTTGGAAATGACTGAACTACTCTTAAAGGGACTTAAAAGAAAACCACAAGCCTGAGTAAGTAATTTAGTGTAGGAAATTGCAGCTCTAAAAAGTTCATCTTGACCAAAATAAAGGTAACTGAAACTAAGCCTTATTGTTTGATACCCAGATGCAGATGACCCTAACAAAACTGGAGGAAATAGTGCCTTTACACATATAGAAACAGGACTGTGTTCTCAGCCCATATCTTTGAAATTCTCAGTGTTTAATTTAATTTTTGAAGAAAATGTTTATGCAATCTCACATGTGTGTGTGTTTGCATATTTCTGCCTCTGTCCTCCATCACATATTTTTTTTAATTCAAGACCTATTTCTATTGTATAGTTTACACTGGAAAAGGCATCTACAGGACCCTTCTTCCAGCCTCTCACCTAAAGCAGGGCTAACTTCAACATTACAGCAGATTGCTCCAGGCTTGGTTGATTTCTCAACACCTCTGAGGGTGGAGCTTCTACAGCTTCTGTTGGCAGCCTCCTTCACAAATTTATTTTCTTGCATATTATGCAGGGACTGCTTTTATAAAAAATACTGATATAATGTCCAAATAAACTGTTCTGTCAACATGTTTTCATTTTCTGCTGTATGTCTTCAAGGTCTTGCTATGAGTACAAACCAGTTACTTGAACAAAAATTTTCTTGTTTCTCCAACCCCAACACTTGCAAGATTTGAAAGCGAATCAAATCAGGAAAAAAAATTAATAAAAGCGAAGGGAAACATTCCAATTTTTTGGAACCATTCCACAGGTTTTATTGTGTCATCCGTAGAACAGTAATAAAGAGGGGAATGAGCTGGCAAGACAGTCACCATGATTGTTATAAGAAGTCACAAAAAATTGTCCTTTGCTGACAATATTCATTTTCCAGGGGGAACCCCTCTTATACTGCAGCATTCAAAAATCAGATTCTATTATCTAAGTAAAAATAACCCTTTTAAAAAATTTGTGTCTTGTGTTTTTCATTGATTTAGAAGATGTAAAGGCAACTTGCAGAAGTTACTTGTGAAATCTCAGCAGCTTCCTGCTTTGAATGAACTTAAAGGTGGGCTGAAAGCCACTCAGAAATCTATTGCAACACTGTATGTACTTTTTTTTTCCCATGTCTAGGTCCCACAATGTAATTTCCTGATCCAGATTCTATGCTTCTCTTCTGAGTAATGATCCAGCAGGCAGGATGCTGGGGATGGCACGGCCAATACAAAACTCTGCTGGAGCACTGAGCAGGCTGGAGACTCAGGTAGGTGTCACTTAAACAACGTGGTATTTTAGGAAATTTCAGCAAAGCTTTTCATGTTATTTTGCAACCCAACAAGAAAACCAGGTAACAGAGCAAATTTAAGGCTTGGAAAACTTTCCAGTATTTTAGATAATTTTCTGCTTTGGTTTTTCCGCTCCTTGTTGTTCACTTATACCAGAATTACATAGTAAATCAGTTTGGTTTTATTCACATTTGTATTTTTCACAGTTAATTTGTGGCACAGCAAGTTCTAGCAGACTCATGCTTGGACCTAATGACTTTGTCTGACTGATCTTTCACAAATTGAGGCCAAAACCCTTTACCCACAAGGGTGTTTAATACAGGAGGAAAATCCTTGCAAGTGTCCAGCCTCGTTAGCACTCTTCAGAGCTCCCCAACACATCTTCTTGAAGTTTTATGTATCAGTTTCATTTCCAGAAGGCAGTGTGGCCAGGTGACCTTGTTATAGCCCCAAAGACATTAGCATATGGTGGTGTTCCAAAACAGGTTCTGCAAGAGGCTTCCGTGCACAGAGTCGAGGTATTTGATTTATTTACAGTTCTGCACAGAAATGGGGGCTGGGTGGCAAATCCACAACTGTCAAAACTTTTCTCTAATTATACATTTTATCTAACAAAGGCAATAATATTCCTGGGCTACAAGTTACATAGTTCTCTTGCTAATTACTATTCTATAACTCCCCTCACTTCTTATGCTAATTAGACTGCATGCTCAGTCTTTCTCTTGTTTTGAGTTGGTGGGTCACTTGAGTTAGTGGTCATGATCTCCCCCTAATAGAACTAAGTTTTACCCGTTTGGAGCTCATTTCAGCTCAGTTGCCAAGTGGGCTTTTTTAGTTTCTTCCTGATCTTGGGAGTTCTGCCTTGTGGCCCATAAGTTCTGCATTCTTTGTGTCCACTATCAGTAGTGCATCCTTCCCCCCAAGATCACCGAAGCATGTCCAGCCCTAAACTTTAACAAGGCAATTCTACAAACAGGTAACTTATCTTTTCAACATTAGGGCATTGATGACACCTGGTAACCCCCTGCCTGCACTGGAAGGCTGCTCCTTACCTTCCTCCAGGTCAGCAGTGAGACCCGTTGCTGAGGGACCTGGCAGTCTGAGATAGGATTCACCCATTTCCAAACACTTGATTGTCCCATGACAGCCAGCAGGACAGAGGGCTGCTTGCATGGTACCTTGCCATGAAGGAAAAAACAGTGCAGCAGGGCGCCAAAGCAGGCAGGCACCGTGCTTTGCCTCCATGATGCCTCCACAGCCTCATCCCGCCTGGCCTTCCCTGCCAATATGCTCCAATGTGGATGAATAGGTCCCTGTGCAAAGCCGGTCTGCCTTAATATAAGGGAAAAGCGAAGTTGTTGCTTAGGACAGATTGTATTCTATTTACAGTGAATTTTGATCAAAGTTTCTTTAGCTTCTTCACTCCTAAGGGTGTATTTGCTGATAATTGAAAATAGAGCTCATCCTTTCCGCTGGCTTTCCAGCTGCTTTTCTGCAGAAGTCATGGAACCAATTAATCAGCTCAAAACTCAGTTAGCCCTTGATTACCCAATAGCCAGAGGGATTATATCAGACTCTTAGTTTTTATTAAAAGAAAGAAATATATAGACCTCCTGATTATGAAGAAAAATTCGGAACTCCAGTCCCACCAATGCAGCCTATGGAAAGTTGGGAGGATTGAAGCAGAGGGCAGCAGTTTATGGCACAGATGAAGAATACAGCCCGTATTGAGAGAGTCAGTTGTCATAAGATTTGTTTCTTGTTTCTATTCAATTCCTTACCATTTTGTTGTTTGTACTCTGTTGTGAGAGTGGGGTAAAACACAAAAGATCACTATAAGGAAATCATATTAATTTCTGCTTGTTGTTGGCTTCAGGTGTCTGCGAGTACTGTGGCCTAGAGAGCTGCACGGACCTACTTGTCACAGGCCTTGTTATAGTGTTCCCACTTCTACATATCCTTCTTTCTGACCTATGCTTCTACCATCTTCTGCATTATATTCTGTCTCTCCACACTGAACTATAACTCCCCGAACCTTTGTCCCTGTATTTTCAGCCTTCTGCCCGTGTTCTCATATAGAGAGGCAGGTCCTGGCACTTCTCAGATGGCACTGAAGATGTTAAATGTGATATTTGTTAATGGCAGAGCAGGTCATGAGTCACTGTCTTGAGCAGGTAAAAGTTACTGCCTGCCAGTTCTTGCACAGTGATTGCCTGTAGCACACGTGAGTCAAGTTAAGGTTATCTACACTTCTAAGCTTGTAAAAAAATCAAATGCGTCTCAAGTCTCTATTTATGCTGAGCATTTCAAACACAAATACAGCCAGTGTTGTTTTGACTTCAGTATTTCCCCAACTGCTCTTAAAGAGTATAAAAAGGCATTACTCGTGTAGCAAGATGCCGACACAGGATTGTGTGGCTATCTCAGTAAGCAAGCTTACTTTGCCCCCTGGTCATACTAATGTTGCTTCTGTTATGACTTATCTATTTGAACACCTTCATCCTTCATGATAACTTAAAAGTCATGTCTTCTGGAAGCAATTCTGTTTGCTTCCAAAGCTAGTGAACATTTTTAAGTACAATTCTACCGCTACCCCTTTTAAAGGTTTATGCAAGTTTATTCATCTGGTATTTTTACTGTTAGTTTATCATCTCTTAAATTAGTCATTTTATGCTGTTTCTCTTATTTATATACAGTGAATGATGTTGCTATGAACGTGCAAACAAAAAGACAACATCCTTCCCAATAAAGCTTAGTATCTAAAAACTGGTGTAACCTATAGCCAGGTGTAACATCTAGGTGTAACATCTATGTTGTGCCTCTCAAGAGAATAAAAAAATGCAGATAAGTTGAAAATATTAAGTCATGGTAGAATAATCTTCTATGAGGAAAAAAGCTGAGGAGATTCCAACCACTAAGAATGCATTGTTGTGCACTTTGTCATAGTTTTGTATGGATTTTTTTTTCTTTAAATCTTTAGTGATCAATAAGGATTTGAACATGATGATGCTTTTCTAAATAAGCTATCTTTCCACTTGTTTTTAACAGGGTATTTATATAAAATACTTTCTGAGAAACTACTGCACAAAAGCTAACTAAGCACATTCTGATGATGTTAGAAGTGTCAGAACAGTTTCCAGAGACAGCTCTAAAAGGTATCACTCACTGGAACAGAGAGGTAGCTACAACATTACCAGAACATTAGGAATCAAGGTTCCCAGTCAGTTTTCCAGAAATCAGATCAGCTTTTCATTATCAAAATGATTTTTGGTAACTGAATCTCTGTTGGTCACTTTGCCATGTTATCTCCATACACTAGAAGAAAAGGTGCCATAAACAAAAAGTTAGAAAGTAGCTGGTCCTTGGGAACTTGACAGAAAAGCAGTCAAAGACAATATTAATCTACAGACTCACAAATAACCCCTTATCCTTAGGGTAGCAACTGGTGTTTCTGCCTGCACTGAACTAGCTCCGGTCCAGGGCTAGTTTGTGGGCTGTGTGATGCTCTTAAGTGGCGTTTTAGAAGGTCATTGTTTAGGAGATTACTGAATAAAAACTTTTTTCTGACATTAATCTTTAATATAAACCATTAAATTAATGTAAAAATGAGACTAAACTAAATAAAAGGGTTGGAGAGATGTATGTTTCACCTGGTGTCCGGTTCCACTGATTCTAAGAGCTACTAGCACTAGCAGGATTTTACATTCTCTTAGAAGTTTCCAGAATAGTTTACCTTATGATTTGAAACTACAAATTTAGACTAAATTACATGTTATTCCTAATGTATGTTTCTGCAGCTGAAGTTGAAAGTTTAAAAGATGTGGTTAGAGTATGCCCTTGTGCACATTAGGGGATCTGAAGAAAATGTCATCTTTTTAAATTTTTTGTCTCCTTCACAGAAAAGAGAGTGGTTTTGTCATTTCACTAAAATATATTAGCAGGTATATTTGCAGGGATACACATACATTTACATTGCCTTCATCTTTTCTTCACAGTCTTGTTGTATCAAAATTTACTTTTAAAAAGATCACTGAAATACCACCAATACCTATAATTTATTCATTCACTCATGAAAATTTAAAAAATCAGCCCCAATCTTGGTTGTTAATTTCTTTTCTCTGAAAGGTGTTAAAAATGCCTGTTCATTACTCAGTTGAGCCAATGAAATTCTGTGCCAGTTCAAATTGAGTGTTAGGCCTATTTGTCTATGGAAGGAATAAAACTCACTGCACATAGCCTTTGACTTCTGGTGTTCAGAATCTGCAGCTCTGTGAAGGATGACACAATGCCACTGAGAGTGCATTTTCTCCTGCCTCCCTTTCCACCATCAATATATTAAGGATTCTTTTTTTTTTTTTAACACAACCAACTTTAGGTCTACAACTGGAACACAATCCAATGCTTTTATTATCTATTTCATAGTCATGTTTGAATTAAGTTTCATATGCAGTATTTTGTTACACCTTTGTAACCATCTAGCCAGTTGTAAACTACATTTATTCCACTCTACTTTAAACTTACCAAGGTTGCTGGGAAAATGAAACCTCCAGGCATATTCACTCTCCATATTCATACTTGAAGTTGTTTTTAAGACAAACACCAACCATGTAACTCTTTAGTGTAAGAGTTAAAATTTATCAAAGTCCTAAAAAGAAAGAAACTAGAGGTGAGCATAGAAATTAGGTTGCAACTTCAATGGGCATTTCTACGAATTACTGCATAACAATTTTTTAATTACATCGTTTTGAGAAGTGAGATAGATAGGTTATGACATGGTGGACATGATTGCTATGTGAGCAATTTCCAAGAAAACCAGAAGCAACTTGGGAGAGTTGCTTGCTCTGTGTCCTTTCTGAGGAAAATTTCCAGTTGGAGTCAAGCCTCTAAGTTACAACTTTCCTTCAGACTATGGTAGGTTGCAGACTTACCTTCTCCTGTCCTTGCTCCTATGTCTTCCATCCTCTGACATCCTTAGTCT